AAAATCAAACACTAAATCCTCTCAAACTTCCATAACCTCACATTGAGGTTAACCTCACATTAAACTCACACTAACAATTGTTGAGAAACAGAGAGAGTAGAAAATATTAACATCCAGTCTTTTATGTTTGATACAAAAACAGAGTTTATTTCTGTGTGCTTCTGCTAATAGTAAATCAAATTAACTTGTAGTCAAAGACATAGAAATATGTTGCCAACCAATCATTATACATGATTCTGAATAAGAGAAATGGTATTAAGTGCTGTTGAATACACAACTGAAAGTTCATATACGGTGTATTTATTGACAAATTTTGTTAAGTATAATATGGAAAAGAAGAAGATGTAAGGAAGTGCTTTCAACGAAATAACCATCGCCTTAGTTAAAAGAGACTGAAAGGTTGAAGATGGAGAGGATGATAGAGTGTGGCTGGATATATGTAAATAACAGACAGGAGGAGAGAGACAGGCAAATGGACAAAAGAGTATAAAGAAGGCGGCTCGGAAAATGCGGTCGTTTTTTTTCTCTCTGTCTTGTGATGAGCAGAAGACATCATCTGAAGATTCAGTCCTCGGGTTCCACAGATAGAAATTACAGCAAGTACACCGGAGGGGCAGCCACAACCCAAACACTGTGGACCCATGTATTAGATTTTTGACTTTACTTGGTGGCCACAGCCATTTTCATCCTTTTAGCAAAACCCCCTTCCATCTGTTCTTCCAAATTTGACCTCTGTTCCTTTCACCTACATCTCCACTGAAGACTGTTCCAATCACCACTTTCTCCCCCTGAAGACACACTGACAACATCAACCCTTTGATTTCCAGCCTGAAACCCATGATTCTGTCTGACACTCTCTTCCCCTCCACAACACTATTCACATTCTCTCCCTTCAAGATTATCCCTACTCTGTTTCATTTCCTATCTATATCATTGTAGCACAGCTTGAATCCACCCCCACTGCTCCTGACCTTGCTTCCCTTCCGCCTGGTATCCTACACACACTATATATCTACCTTCCTTCTTGCCCATCATATCAACCAGCTCTTTCCCTTTATCAGCCACAGTCCTAGTACTTATAATCCCTATTCTGATCTCCGCATTCCCACCTTTTATTGCCTCTCACTGTCTTCTAAAATATTTATTATCAGCATTGCTCCTTGTGCAAGTTTTCTCCACATCCTGTGTATTCCATTCTTTCTGTAGTCTAAAGCTGATTTTGAAAAAGTGTGTTTATGGCCAACTCTGTAACTCTCGGTAGCATTAAGATCAAACTGAAAACAGCAATTGGCACACTGACACATCCCCCACCCACAAATATCTCACCATTCTTTCCTGCATAGCTCCTGTTGAACCCACGGTCATTAATATTTGGCACAGCTCCGTCGCAGGTACCATGGAAAAGACGTCTCTCGTTATTCTGATGACCATTTCTCAACTCCATCTCACGCTTCTTAATCTCTAGACTCTTCCACAATCCAGGGTTCTGGATCCGCTCAATCTGAGAGGAAGAAAAGTGCTTTTTTGTGTAGTCTGATGTAGATTTATGTTTACTGCTTTTATTGGCTTTATTGTGAAACAAACTTTTTAAAAAAAGGTTTAAAAAATGTTTAACACTAACTTCATAATGGTTTGACTGCACAAAGACTTGAACAGATGCATGAAAATACATTTTAATTTAAATCTAGAAATGATTAGTCAGTATCAATTTGATGATCCATTCACCAAAAACCTTTTGCTCTAATGATCTGAGTGATAAATAACAAATGTTACCTTTGTAACAAATCCACTGCATGAGGCCTGAAAATGTTTCAGGATTTCATCATATTCTGATGTCTTGGCTTGTACTGCAAAAGCCTGACATGTGGCCTCAGCTGGCATGT